GGCCGTACAGCAGGACCATTTTAATTTTTTGAAGATATTGTAATGATATTATTTTTAATTTTAGTTTTCATTGTTCACTGCTAGTATATAGAAATACAGTTGATTTTTTTTTTTTTTTTCCTTTTTTGTCTTTTTTCGAGACCGGCAACGAATCGCAACCCTCAGTGTCGCGCCCGTACCGGACCGGGGACCGGCAATGGGATCGCAACCCTCGGTGTTGCGCCCGCACCTCGCTCAGCCAGTGAGCGGGAACTGGTCTGTATGTGGGATCCGAACCCTCGGCGGGAGCGCCACTGCGCTCCCAGGCGGCGCACTGTAGCAGTGCGCCACCGGGCCGGCCCAGGAAAGTCTATTTCATGTGTAACCAGTTAATAATGATTGTGGGTTGTTGATTTTAGAAATAATAATATCCCAACTCTAAAATCCAAGCTGCTGGCCCTTTTAGAACTAAAAATTAAGTCACAAGAAATGCAAGGACCCAAACAGGAGCTTCATCATTTCCATATTGTAGTTCCCACCTACAATTAACCTAATTTGGAGAATAAGAATATTTTATTTAAATTCTTCCATAGAGAAGCAAAATTAAAGTATATTTTTCTATCTTTAGGAGATAAAGAACAAGAATTTTAAAGTATAAAAATCTACTTTGGTATTAAAGGATTGTTCCCATTTCACAATCCTGATTGTAGATAAATGTTGTGATAAATTTTATAATATACATATTTTGTTTTTAGTAAAATGTACCTTTTATAAATCAATCCTATATTTCTTCTTTTCCTAATTTTTTAAAATAGAGAATAAGTGCATCAAATTAGAATTTCTCCAAGTGTATTCTCCTTTTGAACGCAAGATCCCTATGTTGTTGCAGAACCAAGTGTATTACTGTTTATTAAAGGGAATATTATAGGCTGTGAAAGGGAAGATGTTAAATTATTATATATCAAAACAGCCTTGAGTAAATCTGCAACTTGAAGGATAAAAAAGAATATGCATATAAACTATGCTTGGCTCTGTTTTATAACACATGCATAGCTGTTAGGATTATATTTTGGCCTTTGCAGTTGTTATTGTACTACTACTAACATCTTTAATTGGATGAAAACTTTTGAAAGCATTATCCTCTGTTTTTATTCTTACAAAACACTATGTATTAGTAGGATAATTTTTTTCTCAATTTAGAGCTGAAAACATTAAACTAACTTCTCCCTAGACAACACTATTGTCCACTGAAATAAAAACTTCGAAAGAAAGCTCTTTAGTTTATGTTCTCTGTCATTAAGATATGGGGAATTCACAAATTTAGCAGCAGTGGTTCCAAATGAATAATTTTAAATTGCTTTTAGCAACCTCCTTTTCTTATTGACTTATTCTTATTTAACACTCTTATTGTTAACATTCTTATTGTAAATGATTTGACAAAATTGTTAGATTCTTTGGTTCACAGAGAAGAAGTTCTGTTCTGGTAACAAAAAGTAATATGTTCAGAAAACTTATCCATACGATTTTCATAATTCTAGCAAATTTTATTTATTTTCAGATTAATAACTATGAATAGAAAATGTTTTTCTAAAAGTATGAGAATACTTAAAAATAATCTATATCTGAATATACCTGTAATTTTTAATTTATATACTATATAATACAATTTTTCATTATACATTAAATATACATACTTATTTTAATATATTTTATTTTTACTATAAATATGTATTTATACTATATACATATATACAAATATATTTCAATATATTTTTACATTAAATCTATTCTTCCTATATATTTTTAAAGTATAACCTTACGTTTTATTTTATTAATTTGGAATATAATTTCTATCCTAGTAAGTTTTTTTCCTAGTAAGGTTTTAACAGGGAGCACTGTGTGCAGTTATAGGTATTTTTATTTCCATTTCAGAAATGTCAACGCTGAGGCCAGAGAAACTAATTATCTTACCCCAAATTTCACAACTGGTAGGTGGGCAAAGCAGGGTGACATTTTACACCAGACCTCTCTGGTTCCAAGCATTCCAAGGTCGTCCTACTAGGCCCTGCTACTTCCCATTCAGTTTTGGCTAATGCTTCAATAGTGATTTCGAATCTCTCTGAATTTCTTTAATTTGTTTGCACTCTCGTCATTGCACATGACTTATTCCTTTTTAGTTCCTGCACATAATAGATCTCGTCCCTCCTTTAAGAAGAAGCTGTTTTCACCAGTGATAATGATGTTCTAGGCTAGGGGAAGCTCATCCCAGGGAGAAATGACCATGTAAACCCTGAGGTGGGAGGAGACTGAGGTCCCAGGATATCCCCAGTGTACATCCTGACAAACTACAGAGAGAGAAACTGAGCTTATGACATCTGATTTTTGACATAGTCCAGGTAAACACCAAGACTTAATGGTAAATCACATTTGTCTGGTCATGAGACCCCTTCAAAAGACAGACTCTGGTCAAATAAATAGAAAGTTTAACCATATTTAAATATATTTTCTTTAGTTTGAAGAATGGATGATGGAATTTGACTATCCTGGAGCCATAAGTCTCACAAATTTAGAACTGCTGGATTATAGGGTATAAAGAGGGAAATCTAAGTATGTGACTCTACTCCCTGATGGTGGCCAATATTCAAAGTATGGCGTTACCTGCCTCAGCAATTATGATGTGACCTGTTTGATTCATATCAGTGAAAATTTCTGATTAAAGCATGGTAAAAGATTTAGGACTGTCAAGCACCACACTGATTTGTTTTAAATTACTCTTCTGTTAAAGTGTATTTGTGGTTGTTATAAGGGGTGTTACATTTGATAAATCATATTTATCATGTGATATAGAAGAGAGTTGTGAAAAGTTAGTGAACTGATATGGCTACAACGTTAACTTTTATCTGGAATATTACAATATTGTCTTCTCTTCCTCATCTCTTAGGAGACCTTATTCCTTGCTTCTTACATGACAGAATCATTGAATCATTTTCAAACATTTAATTCTAGGGGACTTTTTTTTTCATGTCAGATAGAACAAGTTTAATTAATTATATAATTTGGAGGGGCACACTAAGATATATTTGGTTAATTAGATATATAAATTATTGTGATTATTTCATTTCTAATAAGTTTGTCTTTAAAAATACTCACATACCAATGTTATACAATGAGGAATTAGCTTTATAAAGTGGGAATAATGATAACAAAATTATTAAATTTCAATATTGGAATAAGCATCTTGTCTCATATATTTAGTAAAAATACTTTAAGATATGGTAATTTGGTGGTTAGGATACAATATAGTTTCTTACTTAAAGTTTAATTGACATTTTTCCATAATTTCTTTTTCTTGGGCTGATTAAGTTTTTTACATTGCTGATATGCCAAGTTCCCACACTTTGTATAGCATATTTTGCTAGATAAATATTATTATTGGGTAAATATTACTGTATTTATTAGAAATGGTAGAATTTAAAAAAAAATTCTCAGCACTTTCTTTAAAGATCTTTTACTTCCCTTACAGTACTCCCTCTTGATACCTTTAAAAAGTCCTTCTAAGCCAATTATTAGGAAGGAAATTAGAAAAAGTTGTTTTCTGGAAATAGTCATGTGCCTTAAAAAGGTAAGTCCATGATGAACAGTTGTTAAAGTTTCTAAGCTCTTTTCTCCTAAGTCCCTGAAAAGTATTAGAAATCATGGGTTGGAAAAAGGGAGTGCTGTATATTAAATTCAATAATGTCATAAACTTTTCTGCCTAAATTCAGCACAAAAATTACAGGTTAGGCAAAAGCCTATTCCTAGATTTAGACAATTTTCATGAATTTTAAAAACATGAGGGAAATACCTTTATTTTAGTTAAATAGTTTAGAGAACATCCCTTTCTTTCCTAGGATGAAGAGAGAGAACCCCAGGTTGTCCAGACTGGTTGGAAATACAGCTGTATAACTCAGTTCTCCAATGTATTTAAAAATATACAGAGAGCTCTCTGCATTTTTTTTAAAATGAGCTCTTACACAATAAAACTGCATGCCATGCAAGTGAATTAAATAAAAGATTGGAGACAAAATAATCAAATCGGGAGGAGTACATATCCAGTTTCATTTCTGAACTAACCAAAATATTCCTAATAGTTTTCTTTCATTTTAACACTTAAAAATTCTGTAGAATTCACATTCTAAAACCTAGCATAGTTAAGCTCTATCACAACAAGATACACGTGCTATATAGAAAAATAAATACAACAGAAATTTCCCTCTATCACCCCAGCATCTTTGGGTGGTTTGCCTTTTGAAATGATAACAGAAAAAAACAGATTACCTGACACACAGAGATAATACCTGTCCTGGACCGAGAACTCTATTTCAATAAACTCGTACAGATTCTGTGAGAGTGGCTTAAACAGTTTCTTCTCCAAGTCCTCCTTTACCAGTGATGACATTTCCTCCAGTTCCACCTGGCCTGGTACCTTGGTTCAAGCTCACTCTTTCTCTCCTTTTGCTCCCTAGATTTCTTGTTTGGGTTTGCAGCTCCTTGGTGAGTCCTGCCCACCTCCCAGGCTTCACTCTCTTAACTCCTCATTCCTGGCCAGAACCCAGGCTCCCGAGAGCACTCAGCGCCATCAGACCCCTCACTGCGGTATCTGCCCAGTGGCAGCAGCAGCAGCAGCAGCAGCCAAAACACAGCAGCAGCACTAGCCCCACTGACAGTCTTCAGCATCCAGCCCCAAGCAGGCTGCTCGCTGGAGCTCTCCTGTGGCTTGCTGATGGGGAGACGTATTTATGAACACGGACCAGTATCCAAAGATCTACTTGTGGAGTCCGCCAGTTATTCCAGGGTAGTAGCCTTTTCCCCTTTCACAGCACTGTGCAGAAAAAGACTACTACTTCAGCTTGATGCCATTATATAAATCAGCTGTCTGGCTATATTGATTGAAATCATCTTCCATTAAGAACTTTGCCATCATCGGCAAGAGCAAAGACATCTGTGCTTGCTTCTAACACTTCCAACAAATCTCTTTCCCTCTTTTCTTTCCCCTGCTGCAATGCATTTAGACCTTTGCTCATGAAAGTCTACACCAATCCCTGGGTCTAAATTATTTTTTAAACAGCAATTTTAAATGGACTCACTTTAATACTATTCCTCCACTTACAAACAAAAACGTATGACATATTGTCTGTGTCAGGCTAGGGCCCACAGACTCTTCAAACTTGTTGTACAGGCTGGGTCACAGACCCTTCACATGCCAGGCTGGAGCACCAGACCCCAGTTTCTGAGCTAGGTAATTGGGAAAGATCCTGGGAGCAGACGACAGGAGCTCAGTCCTCAGCTTCCTCAGCAGCAGTAGCGGTGGTCTCCTGGGGCATCCCAGTGGCCCTGACAGCAAGAGCTTGCAGCAACAGCCTCCAACAGCAGTAGCAGCCTCCCCGTGGCCTCCCCAGGGGTGGGGGCACTGTGGATCAGAGCTGTTTGTCCTTTATACTTAAGTCTGATAACCCAGGACACCTGGGTGTGAGCCAGACAACCCAGGAACACCTAGGTGCTGCACACATCTACATCAGATAATAGCCACAGAACACCTGTGTGCATGTGCATCTTTACATCAAATGCTTGGCAAGATTCTGAACATCTGAGGGACCCTGACTATTTATATTTCATTTTCCCTACATGTACCTACTGGGGCAGAGCAGTATATTTTTTTCTTGGGAGGGTGAATTTCCTTGCCGCAAGGTGTTTATAATCTAATAGATGAGCACACCAAATAATCATAAATGTGTAAAAGTGATATATGGCAGAAAAGAGAAGAGAACACAGAATAGAAAAGGTATTTTTACCTGGAAAGTATCAGAGAAAGTGCTGTGGGAGAAGACTGGAGGTTGAAGAATGACAGAAAAGAATAGAGGTGGTGGAGGAGGAGCATAATCCA